CCAGCAATGTTTGTTAGTCAGTTTTGAACTTTTCTGTAGAATTATGCACCTTTCTTATGTTGAGTCTCAGTTTGATATGTGAAATTTTTCCTTAATGTAGGTGTAGTGTAGCTTGTTTCAGGACTCAGATGAAGTGCTGAGCATTTTTGCTCATAATAAGCAAAACCTTGATTTTGATCCTTGGCATCGCAAAGCCAAATCAAAACTGAATAAACTCTCTCACTGTAGGAAAATACTCAATATGGGTTTCTGAGTATCTTCCCTATTGTAAAACTAAAACACTGCTACAAATGGCACGATTGTGGAGCTTTTAGATGTGTGTGCATGCATGTGCATGTGTGCTTGTACAAGGACTTAAACTCAGGGCTTCAAACTTGCTCTGTTTTCTTGCTCACAGCTGGTGTTCTACTACTTGATACAGGCCTTTAGTATGGCATTTTGCCATACTAAATTGGAGATGAAGTCTCAGAAGACTTGGGAACCACAATCCTCCAGGACTCAGTCTCTTGAGTAAGATTACAGGAATGAGCCGCCAGCACCTAGTATAGACATTGATTTTTAAACAATTCAAGGGAAGGCAATTTGTATTTTGCTTATAAAGCAACAGTTGGCAACTTTCTGTAATAACCTTCAACAACTGTGTATACTCATGATATCTTAATTAGTTGACAGTATAATTAATTAGTATGAGAGGAATCGTCTCAAAATTTTCCTTAAAGGCAAGCTTTCTGTATCAGCCTAGAAGAGTCAACATTCTGTCTCTCTCTCTCTCTTTCCCTTTCCCTTTCTCTTTCGTCTCTCTTTTTTTTTTTTTTTGTTGGTCATGGGGCTTGAATTTGGCCCAGGCGCTGTCCCTCAGCTCAAGGCGAGCGCTCTACCACTTGAGCCACAGCGCCACTTTTGGTTTTCTGGTGGTTTATTGGAGATAAGTATCTCAGGGACTTTCTTGCCAGGGCTGGCTTTAAACCATGATCCTCAGATCTCAGCCTCCAGAGTAAGTAGGATTACAAGCATGAGCCACCGGCACATGGCTCTCTTTGTTTTTGGTGCTAGTATTCTCACTTAGCTTTTTCATTCAAGGCTGGCATTCTTACCACTTGAGCCACAGTTCCACTTCCAGTCATTTGGTGGTAATTGGAGATGAGTTTACAACTTTCGTGCCCAGGCTGGCTTTGAACCTTGTTCCTCAGATCTCAGCCTCCTGAGAAGCTAGGATTATGGGTGTGAGCTACCAGAGTCTGATGAGTCAGCATTTTCTGTGTGGAGAGAGAAAGTGAAATTTATTTCTTTTCTTTTTTTTTCTTTTTCATCTGAGACCTGGACTTAGGCTTGATATTTGATGCTTTTGCTCATTGGCTGGCACTCTACCACCTGAGCCAGGCCTCCAACCGGTTATTTTATATTATGGTATTGATCACAATTTATGAATGGTTTTCATATAAATGAGCTTTGGAATAAAATCTGTAGAGACTATGCCATGTTAGAAATACCTCTCGTAAACTGACAGTAATACAGAAACCATGTTACAATAAAGGTATTTCCTTACGCTGGGCATCTGTGGTTCATGCTTGTATTCTTAGTTACTCCAGAGGCTGAGATCTGAGGTGGTTAAAAGCCACCCCTGGGCAGGAGCATTAGTGAGACTCTTTATTTCCAATAAACCACCAGGAAACTGGAAGTGGTGGTGCTGTAGCTCAAATGGTAGAGCGCTGGCCTTGAGCTGAAGAGCTGAGGGACAGTGCCCAGGCCCAGAGTTCAAGCTCTACAACAACAACACAACAAAAAGGTACTTCCTTTCTTGGTGTTAATTTGTGTGTTATATCTAGGTCAAAATTCATCTTATGCATAACAGATAAAACCGTACTTATGCAGGAATCTTTTCTTCTTTTTCCTTTCCTGTGAAATTGCTAAAGAAATTAGTAGAGGGCAATTATATGACCTTTAAAATTAGCCTATCTTTTATATTTAATGACACTTAGTTGCTCAGGAAGATTATTTGAATTACTGATTTGATACTTGGCAGAGTATGTAGATTAAATCTTACTTAGTATGTAATATAAATAGCTTACTGAATGTTTTAACTAATTTAAAAGAGTTGTAAAAAGAATAAATGGTACATTTCTTTTGCCAGTTTAATCTGATTACTTGTATATTTTGATATACGATCTAAATATAATTACAAGGAATATTTGTAAATGAAGTTTTTTTTTTTGTTTTCAAAAGCAAGAAGTAAAATTTATTAGGTGTCTGTATGCTTTAGTCTTTGATGTCTTTGACTTGTACTTTAAATACTTTAATATTTTTAATTTCAAGTTTTACTAACTTGTATTATCTGGTTATTTTGAGAAATTGTATATAGGGCACTGAAACTATCATATATTTGCATACCATGTAAATTCTGTTCTGCAAAACTTGTTAAAATTTTTCTTCCCAGATTTAGTAATAACATTAATTGGAGTACCTGAATGAATGCTGAATTACTTGCATTATTCAGGAAATACTATTGTTTCATGGTGGATACATAGTGAATGCTAGACAAAACTTGGGGATTGATTAGGACTTTATCTGCTATTTAATCCTAAAGATTTCTTTCTAGGGGGGCTGGGAATGTGGCTCAGTGGTAGAATACTTGCCTTGCGTGCATGAGGCCCTGGGTTCAATTCCTCAGCACCACATAAACAGAAAAAGCCGGAAGTGGTACTGTGGTTCAAGTGGTGGAGTGCTCAGCATGAGCTGAAGAGCTGAGGGACAGTGCTCAGGCCCCACAACTGGGAAGGCAGAAAGAAGAAAGAAAGAAAGAAAGAAAGGAGAGAGAGAGAGAGAGAGAGAGAGAGAGAGAGAGAAAGACAGCCAGCAAGCAAAAAAGTACCAGGCAGTGACTGAACAGGCTTCTCCATCTTTTGAGAAGCTATTATTTGGAATGAGTCAAAGGGACCTCTGGAAAATAGGTATATACTACAGGAGTAATGGTAGTTTTATAGGATTTTAAAAACCTAGTTTCGGGCAGGTGCTGGCAGCTCACACTTTTAATCCTACTCAGGAGACTGAGATCTGAGGATCAAGGTTCAAAGCCAGCCCAGGCAGGCAAGTCCATGAGTCTCTGATCTCCAATTATCTACCAGAAAACCGAAGTGGAGCTGTGGCTTAAAGGTTAGAATGCTAGTCTTGAGAGACAAAGTTCAGGAACAGTGCCCAGGCTCTGAGCTTTATGTCCTATGACCAATATAAACAAATAAATACCTAGTTTCTTTCCTGTTTAAGTTTCTTATTTTCTGTAATAAACATATTTTCTAATTTCAGTTTTTAATGATTACCACTGACTGACAACCCCAAGATTTCAAGTTAGGAAGAAAAAAAAAAGAAACCTAGAAAGAAATCTTTTTTTTTTTTTTTTTTTTTTTGCCGGTTGTGGGACCTGAACTCTGGGCCTGGGTACTGTCCCTCAGCTCTTCAGCTCAAGGCCAGTGCTCTACCACTTGATCCACAGCACCACTTCCGTCTTTTTCTGCTTATGTGGTGCTGAGGACTCGAACCCAGGGCCTCATGCACTCAAGACAACACTCTACCACTGAGCCACATTCCCAGCCCCCCTAGAAAGAAATCTTTAGGATTAAATAGCAGATAAAGTCCTAATCAATCCCCAAGTTTTGTCTAGCATTCACTATGTATCCACCATGAAACAATAGTATTTCCTGAATAATGCAAGTAATTCAGCATTCATTCAGGTACTCCAATTAATGTTATTACTAAATTAATAGCCTCTTTTTTTGTTCTTATTCAACTAGATTGTAAGGCACAAGTAGTGCTTTAGTCAGAACTGTATCTGTAGTACCCTGTATGTATACCCAAGCACATGGCAAATACTTAGTATTCAAATAACTGTGTTTAATATAAAAAAGTCAGGAATGTGTGTATGTGTGTGTGTATGTGAAATGGAAAGAAAGGGTAAGATGTACATCCCTGACCTTTGATTTCTTATAGTCTAGGAGGGAGGTTGGACAGTAAATATGTATTTGCATAGAAGGTAAGGGCTCTGACAGGTGAAGTTAGTGCTAAGGGAGCACATCAGGAGCAGCCATTGCTACTGCACCCTTGGGTGCACAAGTTGTTAGAGTAGGCTTTCTAGAAGATGGACAGTATAAACATTTCTAACCTTTTATTTTGTGTCTGTTTTTAATCTATAATTTATAATGGCTAGGTAATGTACTATGTAACTATCAGAGTATAATCAGTCCCCTCTATTAGTAGGCCCTTAGAAGATTCTGTTTTTGTTGTTTTAAAAATATTATCATGTACATCTTTGCAGATCTTCACTTACTTTGTTAGGTAAGTTTGACTGGAAATTTCTGGATCTGAGGATTACGTGTATTTTGGAGAATTTTGCTACATATCACTAGATTTTTCTTCATCATAGATTTTTTTCTTCATCTTTATCAGTCTATACATCCAACAATATCTGAAAATGACTTTCCTGAAAGATCTCTGACCAACATAGATAAAAATATCTCTGTTACTTTGTTAGACAAAAAAACTGGTGTCTTAATAGCTTTGGTGTCAAATTTGCTTTTAATTCACTTGTAATAACTAATAGACTGACAAACAGTACAATGAGATATGACAAGCATCAATTTAGATTGATAAGGATTAGTGAAAATTTCATGCAGTTTAGCATATATGAAATTACCTGCATATTTCCACTAGATTTGATTGCAAGTCATATTATAGTGGTGCTAGGGATTGAGCTCAAGGCCTTGCAGATACTAAAAAAGCACTCTGTACCACTCAGCTACATCTGTAGCCTGTCAGTATTTGCTTTTTTAAGTCTTCAATCCAGAATGTTACTGTATTTTAAGATCTTTATTTTAAAGCTGCATGTTGCAATGACAGATATTTAGAAATTGAAAGGAGACTATTTTTTTGATTTGGGATCAAGTACTTTAAGAAGCTTGTATGTTGACATTAATCCTAGCAACTAACTTCTTTTTAATTATTGTGGCCAGAAACACCAGATGAAAATGGTAAAACCCAGAGAGCTGATGATTTTGTCTTGAAGAAAATAAAGAAGAAAAAGAAAAAGAAACATCGAGAAGACGTGCGAGGAAGACGCCTTAAAATGTACAACAAAGAAGTACAAACCGTATGTGCTGGCCTGACTCGAATCAGTAAAGAGATTCTCACCCAAGGACAAATAAATAGCACTTCTGGAGTTAATAAAGAGTCCTTCAGGTATCTGAAAGATGAACAGCTGTGCCGATTAAATTTGGGCATGCAGGAATATCGGGTGCCCCAGGGAGTACAAACACCCTTTACGACTCACCAGGAACACTCGATTCGTAGAAATTTCTTAAAAACAGGTACTAAATTTAGCAGCTTCATCCATGAGGAACACCAGTCCAACGGCGGTGCTCTGGTACTTCATGCGTACATGGATGAACTCTCATTTTTGTCTCCAATGGAGATGGAGAGATTTTCTGAGGAGTTTCTTGCTTTGACATTCAGTGAAAACGAGAAAAATTCTGCTTACTATGCTTTAGCAATAGTGCATGGAGCGGCTGCTTATCTTCCAGACTTTTTGGACTATTTTGCTTTTAATTTCCCCAACACTCCAGTGAAAATGGAAATTTTGGGCAAGAAAGATATTGAAACAACCACCATTTCAAATTTTCATACTCAGGTAAGGAAAAATTACTGCTGCCTTTGTTTAGTAAATATAGTATCTCAACAGTATTAACCTCATTCTGTTACATAGCACACACCAGCACATGCTGATAAAAATTCATGGAGATAAAAGCACTTGAGCATTGGTTATTTCTCTAATTATAAATCTTAATTGCTGAGATCTCTGGAGTGAGGCTTGTTACTTGCTTTAAGAAATGCTTTATTCATGTTAGACATCACTGCAAGTCTTTGGAAAATCAACTGTGGAACAAATACAGTCTTTTACAGATCAGGTAATGTTAGTGTGGGTGATGTAATTCAGGTCTGGTAGCTGGGAGGAGACGAGTTAAGATGTACTTTCATGTCCTAATAGAACCCATGAGGGTTTTGGCCTATGTCTTTGCCAGGTTTTTGTGGTTTTGTTTCTCTTCTTTCAGTAACTTGTTGGCAATCTATCCCAGAATTACACCCCACATATCTGACTCTTGAGTGTCATCAGGAAGCTTGCCATAGCCCCTGTGCCTTCTGCTCTGTGCTGTTGTAGGTTAAGATGTTTTCTAGAGCCTTGCTTGGGCAGCTAGCCTTATGTCAGCAGAGAAATAGTGCCTTCCTAACCAATTTAACCCTTTTTTCAAAGAAGTTAAATTTAGGGCTTTAAAAACAATTTGATAATATGTCCTATTTTCTTCTCTTTTCATTCTTTTTTTTTTTTTTTTCCCTGTCATGGCTGCTGTCCCTCAGCTCTTCAGCTCAAGGCGAGTGCTCTATCACTTCCAGTTTTCAGGTGGTTTATTGGAGATAAGAGTCTCATGGACTTTCCTGCCCCTGCTGGCTTGGAATGCAATCCTCAGATCTCAGCCTCCTGAGTAGCTGGCATGACAGGCGTAAGCTACCAGTGCCTGGCTGCCCTATTTTTTTTCTTGCTAGCTTTTCTCCTAATATTTATAAGTATGAATAGTCAGCTATAAGTATACTTTGCACATTGTAAACATTGTAAATTCAAGTCTACTGACGTCTGTTTCATGTTTTAGAGATACATGATTATATGTCCTGTTTTTCAGGTCACCTGGTGTTTTAGTGCTTGCTGCTGGGTTTTTTTCCTCTTAAGAGATTTTTTTCTTTTAAATAAGTTTTTTATTGTGAAAATACTGTATAGATGGGTTACAATCACATGAACAAGGTAATGAGCACATTTCTTATCAAGCATTATTGCCTCCTTTTCCCCCTACCATCCCTTCCCTCACATCTCTACAACTACATTCCCCCCCCCCCCTTTTTTTTTCTTTTTTGGTAAATCATTGCATCATAAGACTCAGCTGCTCACATTATAATACTTTCAAGCCACTTAGTTTTGTCTGAACCTCCTCTAGACTGAATCTTTTTATGGAGTCTTACTCTCGGAGCCTCCAATGAGGGGGCAACCAGTTTAGATCTATGAACTAAAAAATTTCTCTAATTGAAGTTCTCTCTGCAGTAGAGAGAGCAGGAGCAGCCAACCTGGAGAGGTCACAAGATGGAGCAGCCCACAATGTTGGAACACGGTGTTCAATAAAGGGGCTTTGTCTTGGATATTAGCTTTGTTACCACAATCAGGTGTTGAAGTACTGACTTTTGTTTTCTTTTTCTTTTTTTAAAGGAGATTTTCCCTTTCAAGATACTTGAAGGCTAAGGAATCCTATTTTTATAAATAATTTGGAAGAGACTAAAAACAGTTCTAATCTTGTCCATAGTTGCCCACCAGTATTGCTGAGAGCTGAGTTTAATATGCTCTATCACTTCTTTTTATTGGGAGGGGGGTCCGGCCATGGGGCCTGAACTCTGGGCCTGGGCGCTGTCCCTCAGCTCTTCAGCTCAAGGCTATCACTCTACCACTTGAGCCACAGCACCACTTCCGGCTTTTTTCCCCTGCTTATGTGGTGCTGAGGAATCGAACCCAGGGCCTCATGCATGGAAGGCGAGCGCTCTACCACTGAGCCACCTTCTCAGCCCTGCTCTACCACTTCTTTAGTGTAGCAGAATGCAGTTCATTTTCTGGTCTGATAGGCCAGCAAGCTATCTGGGAGATGTACCAGAAATTTTGGAGGGGGAAATTCTGGTTTTGTAAACTTTTATATTCTATAGTGGCTCAAGTTTGGATAGGCAAGAAAAGAAGACATTTTGAAATATTATTCCCTGCTGATTTTTGCTTTCCAATTTAAAAATAAATGGGAGCTGAAATTCAAATAACTGTACCAACAATTTACCTTGAGATTTACGCTAAAGAACATGTCAGATTATGAAATTGGATATAGAACATTTCAGCCATGAAAGTGTGTTGAGGATTATTGAATGGGTCTTGTGCTCTGGTGGTCCTGGAATTTAAGTTTTTATTAATTTTTAGCTATTGGAAAGAAGTATATGGTAGATTGAATAGCCCATGAAACTTAAAATTTGAACTTGTAAGATCTTTGATAGAAGCTCACACGATAGTTTAGATTTAATGGTACTTCATAGTTTGTGGAAATGCTTTGACATATCTGTATGTTGGAAACAACCAGGGGAGAGGTAAGCAGCTTTTATCTCTGCTGTGCACTAGCAGACCTTGGTCAGCTAGCGACTCAGAAAAGTTTTATGCCATTGTGTCACATCTTTGGGGAAGTGCTCTTACTGGATTAACCCTGCGGTTGGTAAAACTCAAATCCTAATTTAAAATATAATAGCAAAGGATTTGTTTCTAATGTTAGCAAATAACTAAATGCTGGGAATTAAGTACTTAGGAGAAATTGGAATTTTATGTTTGTGAAGGCTTATGAAGTTCTATTAACCTGTAAATACCTGTAAATAAAGTCAAGGATTGGGTATAGTGGTTAATCGGTAATTCTTGTTACTCTGGAGGAAGAGGTAGTAGGATCTAGGTCTGGTCTTGCCTTGCAAAAACATTTGAGACCTTTCAAGAAAAACAAAATGTCTAGGTTGTGGTTCAAGTAGTAAGACATTTGCCTAGCATGCACAAAGCCCTGAGTTCAATCCCAGGACCCTCCCTCCCCTCCAAAAGTAACAAAGTAAAAAAAAAAAAATTATGGAGCTGAGAATTGAATTTAGAGCTTTTGCACAAATTAGACACGCACTAAACTACCTTCACCAGCCCTCAATTTTTTTAAGCTGCAGAGATAGCTATTAGTGCTTGTTTATAGTTTAATTATCTAGCCATAATAATTATCCATGACTGTGCTTCAGAATAGTTCATTCAGCATTTGGATCAAGACTCAAGTCATGTTCTGTACACTCACTTGGTCGGATGGAGTGGGGCAATAGACCAGCAGTAATAAGGCAGTTTCAGGAGTAGAGTTGTGCATAGGAAGAGCCTGCTCTAGAGGGAGCAGACTGGAGTTGATTAGAAAGGCATTTTTGGCTGGGAATGTGCCTTTAGTGGTAGAGTGCTTGCCTAGCATACATGAAACCCTGGGTTCAATTCCTCAGTACCACATACACAGAAAAAGCTGGAAGTGGTGCTGTGATTCAAGTGGCAGAGTGCTAGCCTTGAGCAAAAGAAGCTCAGGAGGGGCTGGGAAGATGGCTCAGTGGTAGAGTGCTTGCCTTGCATGCATAAGGCCCTGGGTTTGATTCCTTAGCAACCACATAAGCAGAAAAAGCCGGAAGTGGGGCTCATGCTCAAGTAGTATAGTGCTAGCCTTGAGCTGAAGAGCTGAGGGACAGTGCCCAGGCCCAGAGTTCAGGCCCCACGACCGACCAAAAAAAAACTCAGGAACAGTGTCCAGGACTAGAGCTCAAAAAAAAAAAAAAAAAAGGCATTTTTAAAAGCATGTGAAACTTTAATAGAATTGTGAAGGCAGATTAATACTTGGTAAAGACATTTTTAATGAGAGGAATTAATAACCAATTCAGATGTAGAGATATTTGAGAATGTGCCATTTTCAGAGAGCTGCAAATGGGTTGACACTGAACAGGGGAAATCCTGACTGTTCAGGAGTGGCTAGAATTGAGAAGAGAAGAGTGGAGAAGCAGGGAGAGGACAGGACAGTGGGTAGAAGGGAGAAGGACAAGGAGAGAAAGGGTTAGGAGGAGGCAGAGAGAAGAGGGAAGGGGAACAGAGGAGGATGGATTTGAGCATTGAGAAAGGAGGGATGACGAGTAAAGAGCTTTATATGATATATTTTTAAAAACTTTCTGAAGGTAATGAAGTACTAGGAAGCCTTAGGAGAATGTCATCAACTTTGTATTTGTAAAGGTTACATGGAAGTGTAGCGATGAGATTGCATGAAATGAGTTTGGAAGCAAGAAGACTGATTTAGGGTACTTCAGTAATCAGGAACTGGCATTGGTATTAAAGAATGAAATTTTGCAAATAATTACAGAGTAGAGCTCAGCTGGACTTGAGGCAGTTTCACCATGTGTTTAGGAGGTGGAGGTACTATAGAAGGGAAATTAGAAGCTTGGAGAGGCTGTGGGGTTGTGTTTATAAATTCAGATTTTATATATATATGTAAAATATTATTTTTTGTCAGTCCTGGGGCTTGAATTCAGGGCCTGGGCACTGTCCCTGAGTTTCTTTTGCTCAAGGCTAGCACTCTACCACTTGAGCACAGCACGGCTTCTGGCCTTTTCTGTGTATGTGGTAATGAGGAATGGAACTCAGGGCTTCATGCATACTAGGCAAGCGCTCTACCGCTGAGCCACATTCCCAGCTCACAGTTTGAGATGCTTGGATTCCATTTTGTTATGGTGCTAGACAAGCACTGTACCAGTGAAGTGTAGACCTGTTGCTTGAGTTATTTTGAGTTGGGTATCCACTTGAGCCTATGTTTAGAAATGTCTTAATGTAGTTAAATATGTGAGCCTATGTTAGGAGATATCTCGGCAGGAGAAGCAGAAGGTTGGATCAACTAGTAGATGAGCAATCTAGAGATGGTAGAGTGGAACAGAGGTGAAGCTAAGAGTGGAAGACAGACATAAGTGGTGAAAAGAGACCAAAAAGAAAGACAAATAGAGGGAAGACGAAGATGCAAGTTTCCTAGG